ATCAATTGTGCTTTGGTTCCGGTTGTATTGCTCTTTCCAAGGATGGAGCGTAAGACAAGGCTTAAGTGCAACTCCTTGGCCAAGCGTCTTTACAAGCCTTACCAGGAATGGAGCGTAAGACAAGGATTAAGTGCAACTCCTTGGCCAACGTCTTTTCAAGCCTTACCAGGAATTGGGCGTAAGACAAGGATTAAGTGCAACTCCTGGGCAAAGCGTCTTTTCAAGCCTTTTCAAGCCATTTCTAACCCCAATAAAGTTTATTATTGTTATTATTATTATTATTATTTTATTATTATTATTATTATTATTATGTGTTATGTATTATAACCCTAAGCTGTACATGGTGTGAAAGAAAACATGATTCCTCAGACCAAGCCACCTTCTTACTGCTCCATGGTCCTGTGCTGATGCTCATGTGATTTTCTATGAGCTTTTGATGGAAGACACTGGCCAGCATAACCAGTGTAGAGGCCACCATTTTCTTGGTTTTCATCCCTGGTTGTCTAGTGTGGTAAGACCCGTGTTTAAGTTGTATAAACACAATCATACATATATAAAACAATCACGAGCGACGCCCTCGGAAACACAAGCACATGAATAAGGCAGGTAATCAAATAAACCCACACCGCCGTGAATCACATTCACACTAACCACACCTGCCGACTCAACTGCACCCCAGCATGTCAACTACATGAACAGTCTTATCAACAAAGTGCAGCGTAAAATCAAACTAAACCCAGGTAATCAAACTAAACCCAGGTAATCAAACTAAACCTAACACCTGCCGTGAGATCACATTCACACTAACCACACCTGCCCGACTCAACTGCACCCCAGCATGTCAACTACATTATGAACAGTCTTATCAACAAAGTGCAGCATGTCAAAAGTGGGATTTGAACCCACACCTCCAGAAGAGACTGAAACCTTAACACAGCGCCTTAGACCACTCGACCATCCTGACTAAAAGACCCAAAAACTATGCAAAGGAAATTCCAAACTATGCAGGGGCATTTATTTAAACAAGCTCTCAGGAACAGCCCAATACCCCCTCATCAGAGGTGCAGCAAAGGAACCAAATGTCAGAAGTGGGATTTGAACCCACGCCTCCAGGGGAGACTGCGCGACCTGACGCACCGCTGCGCCTAGACCGCTCGGCCATCCTGACACACGTAAGCTACAGTGTCGTGGACCATGGTTCGGGTATAGCCAATACTTTCCAAATAAAGCACAATTAGATTACTTGAAATAGAAGCACTGATTTCATCAATAAGTGCTACTCTTTGGGGGCAGTCTCATCTGTGTATTTGTCATTACTTACTTTGTGTGAGTCCTGCGATGTTTCTCGGCTGAAAGTCACCCTAATTGTAGCACATTTACTGCAGTTTTAAAGTAAGTGCTAGCAAGGTTGGGGCATAAGCGTGAGCTGTTAGTTTGAAGGGGAAATCAGTGTCAGGTGTTTTCAGTCTATGGCATAACAATCAGGTGTGAGTGAGTACCATGTCTGATTTGAGGAACAGGGATCGTTAAAGTCTGACCTTCACAACACATGTTTGTTAAAGTGTATCATGCTAGGCAAAAATTTTATTTGTGAGGATCTGGGAAAAGGCTTTCCGGATGAGGTGGCCGAGAGGTTAAGGCGATGGACTGCTAATCCATTGTGCTCTGCAGACGTGGGTTCGAGTCCCACCCACATCGCAGAAAGGTTGTTTTGCCTCCACTTTACAACAACCTCTGGCTTGGGTGCAGTCTGTCTCACACATACAAGGCCTACAGGTGACAGGCTCTGGACAGATCCATGAGACAGAACAAGTGTGGGTGGAGAAACATGAAAAGCTAGAATTGCAATGGCAAACAATGTGCATCACATCCTCCTTTATTCTCCACAGACTCCACAGACTGGCATGTAATTTCATAAGTGTGAGTTATGTCAGCAATAGGTTAAGTTGATGGACTGCCAATCTGCTGTGCACAGTCTGGATTTGAATCAAGAAGACTTTTAATGCAGGTTTAATGCAAGTTCTCATTCGTAGTTTGACAGACAATACTGTCCAAATTAAACACCATTACATTACAGGAAATAGAAGCACTGATTTCATCAATAAGTGCTACTCTTTGGGGGCAGTCTCAGCTGTGTATTTGACATTACTTACTTTGTGTGAGTCCTGCGATGTTTCTCGGCTGAAAGTCACCCTAATTGTAGCACATTTACTGCAGTTTTAAAGTAAGTGCTAACAAGCTGGGGCAACTTTCAGTGAATTTGGACACCACAAATGTGGAGTGTGAAACTATAATCACATTCATTGTTGTTGAGATTCTAACTAAAGTGTTTCTCTTTATAAATATCTATTAAAATTCTTGCACATATGCTTAGTGAAACATGTGTTGAAATCTCTTAGAGCAATACTTTTTAATACATCAGTGAGAGCATCATTTGGCTGTGTACCTACTCTCAACCTAGCGTGATAACTGCCTGTCAACGTGTGAATGACCTGGTTCATTCAACAAGGGGTGATCTGCCATCATCACTTCTATGTGTCACATTGGCTTCTGTGGGTTGGACTGTGAATCATCTCAATTTCAGTCAGACTCCAAGCATTGCAATGAACATCACTTGACTCAGGCCCCTCAGAATGAAAAAGTGGTCAACTGGTAAACTCTCAGTGGACAACTTCTAGGAAAGCAGGCATGCACTGATTACATTTGTCATGGTAAACATGGCAGGAGAAGATGCAAAGAAGTAGACCACCTATCTGTCTTATTGTCACCGTTGATATCCTATCAATGGCTCTGACCTTCCTGAATGGTAAGTACTATTTGTTGGGGTGATGTTGGGTGATTCAATCAACTAAAGATACTATATTTTTGTTTACAATGTATTAAACGTTAAACAGTTTGGACAACATCCAATACTTTCAAAAGAAATCACAATTCGATTACTTCAAATAGGAGCAACTTGATTTGCATTACATTCGTAAGTGCTTCTCGTTGGGGCAGTCTCATCTGTGTATTTGACTTTACTGTCTTCTGTGACTGCTGCAATGTATCTCTGGATGTTACCCCAATTGTATCACATATACTTCAGTTTTAATGTGATTTTCTGAAAGCCTTGATACCTTTCAGTGACAGCAATAATATGAAATTACTGTCTTCTGTGACTGCTGCAATGTATCTCTGGATGTTACCCCAATTGTATCACATATACTTCAGTTTTAATGTGATTTTCTGAAAGCCTTGATACCTTTCAGTGACAGCAATTATATGAAATGTTGAAACGGTGACATTTTTCACTTCATACAGATTAAGTTGAACTGTTCCCAGTGAATTTGGTGAAATTTATTCTGCCAACTGTGTGTTTGTTTGTTTTTTCTTCACATGAACTATCATCAGAGCTATTGTCCCTTTTCATTTTGATGCTGGGCAGATCCTGAACATTCATTGGAATGACACCGGACTCAGAATGAAAAGCATTGCATTTGTTCAATTGGCAAATTCTCAGTAAGCAACGGTATGTAACAACTGTGAACAGCAATTAATGCACAGTGAGGAAGATTGTCACTAATGCTAGCCAAGTACTGGCCTGTCTGAAAGGCAAACCAAACTTCAGACGTAGTTGGCAGGAGTCGAACCTGCGGCGGGAGACCCCAATGGATTTCTAGTCCATGCCCTTAACCACTCGGCCACAACTACATAAAAACAGCCTTGCTTCATCGTCGACCAATGTCTGAACGCGTATTCCCATGCAATTTGTTTGAGAAAAGTATAGGCTTCACTTAGGGACCCTGCTCAGGTATTTCGGCAACAAAGCAGTGGAGTTGGTTCTTTCTATGCACAGTGCCATCCTGACACACATAAGCTACAGCGTCGTGGACCATGCTCGGGTATAACCAATACTTTCCAAATAAAACACCATTACATTACTTGAAATAGAAGCACTGATTTCATCAATAAGTGCTACTCTTTGGGGCAGTCTCATCTGTGTATTTGACATTACTTACTTTGTGTGAGTCCTGCGATGTTTCTCGGCTGAAAGTCACCCTAATTGTAGCACATTTACTGCAGTTTTAAAGTAAGTGCTAGCAAGTTGGGGCATAAGCGTGAGCTGTTAGTTTGAAGGGAAATCAGTGTCAGGTGTTTTCAGTCTATGGCATAACCAAGCCACCTTCTTACTTTCCAAGGGTGCAACGGTTAATACACATCATTTAATACTTGACGTAAAACACAGTTACAAAACATTTAACTCAAAGGAGCTACTCCACTCACCAGCGGTAGCAGTCAGGAATTCCAGGAAATATCCCGTTTTACCATTAAATACATTTCTAGTATGTTAAGAGATAATACACTTTAGTCGTTAGCTTACATTTAGTGTGAATGGTTGGCGCCGGGCCTAACCATTCTATTGGACCGTCTTTACAAGCCTTAGCAGGAATGGGCGTAAGACAGGGCTTAAGTGCAACTCCTTGGCCAAGCATCTTTTCAAGCCTTTTCAAGCCATTTCTAACCCCAACCCTAAGCTGTACATGATGTGAAAGAAAACGTGATTCCTCAGACCAAGCCACCTTCTTACTGCTCCACTGTCCTGTGCTGATGCTCATGTGCAGTTTCTATGAGCTTTTGATGGAAGAAACTGGCCAGCATAGCTAGTGTAGAGGCCACCATTTTCTTGGTTTTTGTCTAGTGGTAATTCTGGCCCGGGTTCGATTCCCGGTCAGGGAATGGTGTTTTATCCACCGCTGGCCAAATTAACATTTTAAAAGAAACCATATCACACAGAGAAATCCGTCCTTCAGGCGGATTGGAACCAGTGACCTGAGGATACTAGTTTAAGTACCTACAGTCCTCCGCTCTACCAACTGAGCTATCGGAGGTGAAGGCGGCTCAATCCATGTATATCTATAAAACCATTCGGTATATCGATATATAAGGTGCGAATTTATCCCAACTGAGCAAGCCACTAAGTGGTGACGGTGGCAAGGAAAAACTCCCTAAGATGTTAAGAGGAACAAACCTTGAGAGGAACCAGAATCAGAAGGGAACCTATCCTCATCTGGGTAACATCAGATAGTGTGAAAAAGATGATTATGGATTCATATGGAGTCTCTTTGGCCTTAGAAGCAGCTGTAGTCCCAGCAATCTGGAATTGGAGTAGATGAGAGCTCCATCCAGAGGTAGGCCATCAAAAATGGATCAGGTAGGTCCAGAGAGCAGAGGGGATCAGGATCTCTAGTATCTCCATAAAATCGGGTGTGGCATGACAGAAGGAGGGAGGGAGAAAAAAACTAGGACTGTGCTTAGCATAAGAGAAAGTCTAGTCAGGGTAGGCTTGATTAAACAAATACGATTAAAGCCTAGACACTGAGACTGTGCCTGAGTCCCGAACTCTAATTGGAAGACTGTTCCATAAGTGTGGGGCTCCAGAAGAGAAAGCTCATCCTCCTGTTGTCGCCTTCGCTCGAGGTACGAACAAATAGCCTGCATCTTTTGATCTAAGTAGGCGTGGCGGATCATAGAAAAGCAAAAGGTCGCTTAGATACTGCGGCGCGAGACCATTTAGTTAATTATGGGTTACTAATAGTATTTTATAATATAAAGTATTTTATAGTTATCTTTGATAAGTGAGCTAGCAAACGAGATCGATTTTCTATTCGAATTTTGCTCTTCACAAGCAAAGCGGCAAAGTGATTTAAGGAAACACTAGACTATTTTTTCTGGAGCCAATAAACGTGTTTGTGCATCTTTATATTCTCATGTTTCTGCCCTTCTTCAATACATTTACTTCAATTAAGTAACTAGACCATTTACAACTTTACATGTACACATTCGATTCAGTTCAAATCAATTTTATTTGTGTAGCCTTTTTACAGTGGACATTGTCTCAAAGCAGGATTCGTTTGACTTCCTTTACGTCAATGCAATTTCCCAGGATGGAAGATGTGTTTGGCACGAGCTTGTTTGATGAATGCCAAGGTGCTTTGTTGCTCATCTTCATAAAGATTCTCTGCATTAAGACTCAGGTTCATAGCAGGCTTCAACTTGCACAGGTAAAGCCCCAGTGCAGTTCAAGTCCAGTGCCATATTCTGTTGGCCATCACGGGTATGGGGCACAGGACAAGGCTTAAGTGCAATTTCTTGGATCATTTATGGTTTTATCGTTTATGTTTGATGCTA